GAATGCGCGCGCAAATTCAGTGACCGTTCTTAAGGCACTCCAAATGACTCCTCATTCATCACTCGTTCTGTCGCGAGGTTCGTTTGTTCCTGTTCGACCCCCCCACGCCGCCACACGCCGCTGGGCGGGGTGGCTGTCAGCGAGCGCCACTGCCTCTCGTGAGTCAACGTGGTGACGTGAGCTGCTTGCAGCCTCGGGCCAGTCGTGGAGATTTCACACTCCGATGACAGGGCCCAGTCTATCCATTGGACAACCACTGTTGACTTCCTCCACAATTCTGGAACTCGTTTTATCGACCCCCCCCCCCCCCGAGGGATGATGGGATGAGTGAACCCCAACGCCAGGGTTTGAACCCCCGAACTTACGATTGCTACGAGCCGCTCGCCCGACCGCTAAGCCACCTGGCCGGTCTGCCCAGCGATAGAAAATAATACCCCACCCCCCCCCTCCCCCACCTTTGACGATAGTAATAATTTAAGGTTAAAGATGAACATATCATGGCACCGAAATGCCTGAGCAACTCAAAACTCTGAACCATTCCGTTGCCCTTCTGCAGCACAGCCAAAGGGGGACACCCCCCCCCCCCCCCCGACCCCCCGCCGTGGCACACCGCAGCGCCGGCGGCCTGCGCGTCGGGGGCTCGCCCGCACGCTAGCGGGCGAGACGGCGTGGGTCCGTGCGCGTCCCCCCCCCATCGCGAGTGACGGGCGAGCGAGGGTGAACGTCCGAGGCGGGAGACGCCGCTCGCGCTCGCGCTCGCGCACCGGCGCAGCCCCCGGTGTCGTCGAGGCGATAGCCGGCGCCGCACTGCGCCCGCGCCTGGCACAGGAACGAGCCCTTGGTGTTGCTGCACTCGGTGTCGTTGGTGCAGTCGTGGCCGCCGGTCACGCACTCGTCGATGTCTGCGCACGCGAACGCGCACGGACGAGAGCGGAGAAGCGGAGAAGCTGTCATCGCGTGCGTTGGTGGAGAAAACTAGCGCAGGGGACTCCTCTACTTACGGACGAGTGAGGTTCCGGAGGTCTGTTCGTAAGTCGATTTGTTCATAAGTCCAACTTTGCGCCCACCTGTCGATGCCGAGTGCGTTGTACGGCATGTACACTAAACACGGCGAATGGCTTTGAAAGTTGTATAATCTCCTGTAGATCTAGATGCCACTGGTTCTTGATGTTCTGCCGATGTAGATGCCACTAGTTCTTCATGTGGCATCTGCATGACATACGCACAGGTTTGTTCATACCGTTGAAAGTTCGTAAGTCGTGTGTTCGTAAGTAGAGGAGTCCCTGCGGCAGCAAGTTAATGTGCTGACGTAACGCCCCCCCCCCCCCCCCTCCGATGTGTGTTTCTTCACTTAAAATAAATCAGAATCACAATATTTATTTATACTGGAGGAATCCGATGCGCTACGAAGCACTTTTTCACAGATGTACCAGTGGGCTTTCCCAAACAATATTATTCATGATAAAGGTTTTATTTTTTTATTTTATTCGAGTGAAAAGAGCCAAAAAGGGGTTTTGTGTTTACTCATTTCATCAGTCGTACGGCACTTCTGGGGGTGCAATCTTTCAGCTGCGTTGCTTTAACGCGAGCAAAGCCCCGGGCGGTTTCGGGAAAGGGGATAGAAGGGGATGGGTGAGGGGGATGGAAGAAGGGGATAGAATCAATAAAACTTTATTTCTATAGCACACAGTGCTTTACAGACTTGAACAATGAAAGTGAAATTGTAAGAAAAATAAAATCACGTTGTTACAAAATTCTAGCAAAGGCATAATGAAAAATAACACACTAAGAAAATCCTAATTAAAAGCAAGTTTTTTTTTTAAAGTTCGTTTCTAGATTCATTTTAAAAGTGCTCAATGACTCTGAAGCCCTCAGATCCCCTGGCAGGCTGCTTCACAGGCGAGGACCGTACACACGAATCGCCGCGTCTCCCTGGGGTTTAGTCATGGCCTTTATGGGCGACTCAAAGACCGGTCCCAGAGGATCTGAGGGATCTTGCTGGTCCATATCTTAAAAGCATGGAAGAAGGGGCGAGAAGAGGGGGTGGGGGGGGTACAAGAGGGTGGGGGAGGGTAGGTAGAAGGGACAGACGAGGCGGGTAGACGAGAGGGGATAGACGAAGGGGGGGTAAGAGGAAGAAGTCACCGATGCAGTCGTTGTCCTCGTCCAGCTGGTAGCCGCTGTCGCAGCCGCCGCCGCGCTCGCAGGAGAAGGAGCCGGGGGAGTTGACGCAGCGCTGAGCCGGCCCGCAGGCGCGGCTCACCGCCAGGCACTCGTTCACGTCTGCCGAGGGCCGCCGCCGGGGGTAGAGGGGGGTGCGGGGGTGGAGAGATACAGCGTGGGAGACGAGGGCGACGCTGGACACTCCAGTGCCACGGGGGTCGGCAAAAACCAAGATGACAAGCGGAGGCGTTTTCGTCGACTTTGGTAAATGAATACACGTTTTCAAGAGCCGCGAGAATGCGTGCGAATACAAGACGGGTACTTGACGGATAACGTCAAACCGTGGCGTCTTGCGATCACTCTTTTCAGAAGGTCGCACGCGCAATTATTCGCAATTGCCACGTTACAAATCACCGTTTGGGCTTTTTGGACGTCCGCCGTTGATCGATAATGAATTCGGAGGGTGGTTGTTGTTGTTGTTGTTACTTTGCAATGAAAGCGTCGCGAGCCACGAAAGAGCGGTCCTTAAAGACCCTCAGGTTGCCGACCCCCCTGCTCCAGAGCTGGGGCAGGGAGGGCTCTCTCTCTCTTGGCCCTTCTGCCTGCAGTGGCGTGAGAGAGAGAGCCAGCCCAGGACTCTGCACCTTCACCTTTGCTCAACATTCCATCCCTTTTGCGCTGCTCGTTGTAACCGCCTCGCTGGCGATCATCCCTAGTATCGCGACATCCCTAGTATCGCGATATCCCGAGTATCGTGATATCGCGATATCCCAAGTATCGCGATATCTCTAGTATCCCGAGTATCGTGATATCCCGAGTATCGTGATATCGCGATACCCCTAGTATCACGATATCCAGAGTATCGTGATATCGCGATATCCCAAGTATCGTGATATCGCGATATCCCATATCGCGATATCCCAAGTATCGCGATATCCCAAGAATCGCGAAATCACGCGCGATATCGAGAGTATCCCGTCGTTCAAGCGATTGTTCGTGGGCCACATTAGCCGCACTTAGCGAGGAGCAACGCGACAACAACGCGAGATTGATTGCCATCGTAAAATTATTTGGCAGCTGAATGTCCACGCTGCCTTAACATTATCGCTACGCACGTAAATGTCCACCCCCCCCCCCCCCCCCGGCTGATGTATGTCGCAAATTTGTTCGTTGCGGTGGTCATAAGTGCTCTTATTATTATACAGATGTGCATATACATAATCACCGATTACAGTCTTCGCAGAATTTATTTTGCGGTATTTTTTGCGGCCTTGCCAATGGTACGTTGAGTGGTGGCCACGTGCCGCTTGTTCACTATGTTTGTAAATGTATACGCTAGGAGTGCTCATCTCATGCTAATTGCCCTGAGCCAGCGGTGGGAATTCCACGTTCCCATGGCGAGGGCGAGTCTCTCCATAGTGGTACTCATAGTGAACATTTTGCCTGAGTGACATTGCATTGTTACATTTCCTACAAGGTGTTCCACAAGTCTCTCCATAGCTTTGTATTTTGTTAAGAAAACTAATTTTCTACATTACTGCTATTAACTCGCTTCCTGGACGGTTTCTGCCAAGCAGCTAATTTGTTGTATCATTGTAATGTTTGGCCAATGCCAGTTACACCCTATGTGTTTTGAAACTCTACTTTACAGGCTTAGTGTATAGCCATGGGTAATTTCTGCCGCTGTGTTGGCATTCGTGCACAAGCACAACAACAACAACAAAAGCCTCACCACATTCGTCAATAACACTGCATGATGGGGAAGAAGAAAAAAAAAACCCCCACATATAACAGGTGACATTTCGGGCAATGGTCGTCTTCCTCTGCCTCTCCATGTGCTGTGAAGAAGCGCCTACTTTGTACTTCATTTCTCTTTAGGTGTCACTGACGAGTGCGTTGAGTTAGTTGGTTCGCGCTAATCGCAGGTGGCTGCACTGCCACGGCCGCGCTATAAGCGCCTTCTTTGAACGGTCACGGCCTGTCCGTCCGTCCTACGCGAGTCGTACCGACGCAGCGTCCGCGCGGGTTTCGGACGAAACCCCTGCGACAGCTGTCGTCGGCCTCGGAGCAAACGAAAGAGCCCCAAGTGTTTCTGCATTCCTGGCCCTCGGAGCAGTTGTGAGCGCCGCTCTCGCATTCATCAATGTCTGGGCACAAAGAGAGGAGAGAGAGAGAGATGGGAGGGGGGGGAGAGAGAGAGAGAGAGGAGGGGAGAGAGGTTCGAGCGTGCGGTGCTATGTCAGCGTTATCGCTCGGCCTCGTGCCATGCCCGTCTCAGCGATTGCCCTGCATCGTCGGCTGCACCTGCGCAAAAAGTGCGCCATGTATGTATGTATGCACGTTGGACTTCTTGTGCACCGTACGTAGCCAACCGTGCTACTCGGAGGTGCGGGAGGGAAGGACGACAAACTGAACACCAAAAAAAAAAGAAGAAATGAGTTGTCAATCTAGATTTAAAAAGAGATTCCTTATATCGGAAAGAAGAGCGTTCCAGACGGCTGCAGGAGCCCATCTGAAAGTACTCGATGCGGTGACCGTCTTTAAATAAATACCTATCTAGGATGCCACTGGAGCCATGTACAGCTGGGCCCAAATTTAAATTGAAAACTAATTTCTTAAGATCTATTTTTGTGTTTAGTTTGCTGTCCTTCCCCCGAACCTCCGATTAGCACGGTTGGCTACGTACGGTGCAAAAGAAGTGCAAGACACACACATAAACGACCTCTGAACTACGACATTCTTTTTTTTAAATGATGATTACCGTGCCACCATTCGCTGAGATAATCTGCTATGATCATACTGCACATGAACCCATTGTGTGTTGCTGTGAAGATTGAGCAAATGCTGCTTAACAATATTGGTGTGGAAAGCCATGAGAGTGATGGACTAAAACACGTTTGCGTCTATACGTGGAGACACAGAAACGAAGCTTTGCTTATATTTCTTAAGACTATACGTAGATTAGTATTGACATTATGAAAATACTTAGGAGTTACACATTCTGCCAGAGAATTCAGGAGGTGTAAAAGATATTAAAATACGAAATCAAACTAAACTATTTTAACTTAAACAACTTTTTATTTTACCAAGTAAGGCCCACTGAGCTATGTAGCTCTTTTTCAGAAGCGACCTGGCCACAAATGATTGCTCAACGAAGTGGCTTATCACGTGGAAACAAATAGCAGCCAAATCCTCTAAACCCATAAGGGGGGGGGGGGGAGAAACCGAAGGATCCCAAGAAAAATCCACATGACCACGTGGAGAGAGACAACACGCCAACCCCAAGTATACAGGCGTCAGGGTCGGGATAGAACCCACGACCTCCTGTGTACCAGGCGAGATAGCTAACACCTCGCCACCGTGAACCAAGACGCCTATCGCGAGGCGTCAGGCCCCGCATTAACCGCACGTGCGCGCGTCCGTGTCCCTAGCCGAGTAAACGGCGGGGTGCTGCGGTGCCCACCAGCACAAGTGTCCCCTGGGCCTCGCTCGCGGAAGCCTGGGCTGCAAGAGCAGACGATGCCCTGCTCCGTCGCGTGGCACAGCTGGGCGCAAGCACCTCCTGGGATGCACGTAAATGGGGGGGGGGGGGTGGAGGGGTTAAACTTATTTTAAAACTATTCATATTCTTGGGTCTTTCGGTAAAGTCACGTCGATTGGTTCGTAGAAAATCGCAAAAAAATAGCAAAAAAAACTACGACGTTTCGATCGCAACGCAAGCGGTCGTCTTCAGAAAGACCCAAAGAATATGAATTCCTGCAGTCACGAAGGCTTTAAGTCAATATTTACTACTTACTGCTCGTTTCTATGCCACCTCCCTTTGTTCCGGTTTATGCGATGTACCGGGCACGTGGCGCATTAACACACTAAACTTTTTTTTATTTTATTTTACCATGTGTAAGGCCCACTGAGCTATCCAGCTCAAGTGACAGGTCAACGAGGTGGTTCATCGTCGCGTGGAGATGCATTGCAGACAAATACTCTGAACGCACCTTTATTCTAAATGTTCGAGGGCCGAGTGCATTGTGCAGTCGAAATGCACCTCGGCTTTGTCGGGGCCAAATCACTACTCTGGTAACAAACCACACCGCAGGTCTCCCATCTCTCTTTCCGCTTCTTCCCTCTTATCTTATTTTCCCTCTCCCTATCATCTCCTTCGCCAAGTTATTGTAACCTTGCTCAAATGCAAGAAACGTGATAAGTAAATTATTGGGTTTTTTTCATGACAAGACGGCCCGTCAGCTGCTGGTCACTGAGCATATTGGGCCCCCATGGGCCTGTGCTAAAAATAAAAAATAAACATGAATTCCCTCCCATCGTCTCCTTGACCAAGTTCGTACAACCTCGCTCAATTGAATTAAATTTTTAACTCTTATCTCTTACACAGGTGCTGTTTGTTGCTGGCCGCTTATGCTCGAAAAAACCGTGATGTAAAATATCACGGTCATCATAATAATGATGATCATCATCACTCGTACCGTCTTATTACAGAGCCCTTACTCGTCAATAACACCATGGTCTTCAAAAACATATATAATAATAAGCGAGGTTTGGGCAATGAACCCTTCTGCATCGAACAAAGACGGTCACCGCATCGCGCGCTTTCAGACGCGCTTCTGCGGCCGTCTGGAACGCTCTCCCGTCAGCTAGTAAGCCACTGGAGCTACGCGCTTTTAATTCTTCATGTACTTACAACTGCTTTTTGAGCTCAGTTTGCTGTCCTTCCCCCGCACACTCCACTTAGCGCGGTCGGCGACGTACGGTGCCAAAGAAGCTCAACGTACGTACGTGAGCAACCAACACGAATTGCACTGAACCCCCATTGCCTTTTCATCTTCGCGTTTTTGAAGCGGCCCCCGAATGCTGAAGGGAAAACGCGACGGAGCGCCGCGGGTGACGGGTGTTCGAGCAGCGGGTGACCTTGGCAGAGTTCTGTTGCGGCCGCGTCCTCTTCCCCACCGGACGCCTCCGCGTCCGCTGCCGCTGCCGCCGCTGCCGCCGCTGCTGCCCGATGAGACGCACATTCGACGCGGGCCGGAGCGGAGAGCGAAGTCGGCGGGGGCACGCATCAGCGAGCCAATAAAGAAAAGAACAACGCGACGCCGCTTCCCGTCGTCAATGCGTGGACAAGCGTGCTCGGAGTTCAGTGATATTGTTCAGTCCAAATGTTCAACAACAACAAAAAACTATTTTGCAACGTTGCCCCTAAAGCTTTCAATGACGTCCTTAAAATGAGAAGAAAAATGTGCCACGCATTTGTTTGGTTTTATTTTTTCGCCGCGTAAGAATCCATTTGTACCTTCGGCTGGTTTACCGATAAAAAATTACATTATCGCCATGAATTAGTAATATATATTGTAAATGCATTTGGAGTTTTGCATCAGTTACAACCACGTATGGATAGAAACCCAACGTATGAAATGACTCGGCTCGTTCAAATCAAAATGTCGTCACATTGAGCAACATCGTCTTTTACAAAACACATGCAACTGCAATCGAATAGATTAAAATCATTGCGTCCCTTAAATATAATCGCGTTTGATTCTATATCGCATCGCTCATGCCCCCTCATTCTCACAACGCTGTAGCCTTTCTCGTGCACGGTTTTCGCAGAGGCGCGGGACATCAGACAAGAGAGGAGAATGCGGCCAGAACCAACCCCGTCAATTGCCCAACTTCCGCGGTCCTATGTTGGGATGTTTGGCCCCGCTCCGTTCACAGTCACATTGGTGGCAAGAAACAGGAGAACCCTGGTGACAGATTGCAACACCGTTGGACACGAAACGGCCTTGCTCGCGACAGGACTTGCCGTACCCTGCAGGGCCAGCAGGTGGCGATCTTGAACCCTAGTGCCGGACCCTGTTGGCCAGAAGGTGGGGACCTTGAACCCTAGTGCCTACCCTGCAGGGCCAGCAGGTGGCGACCTTGAACCCTAGGAGCCAGCTCCTGCATCGGGTGCCCGGCAAAGCGAGGTCGCTTGTCGGGATGCTCCGAAAAAAGGTTTCCCCTCTGGGTTGACGAAGCCTCAGATTTAGCATTCAGTGCGGTGTATCGACATCAGCGCTGCGGAGGTAAAGGCAGTCGGGCCTGGTTGCTGTCCATAACAGAATCATAATCTTTATTAAGACTGGATGAATCCGATGAGCTACAAGGCTATTTTTCACCGGTGACCAGTATGGGCGGATAAAGCTCCGCCTGTACCAGGCCAGTCTCATGAAAAAAATTCAACAGTGATGTCTTGCGCCAATGAGCATTGAAATGGTGCTCAGTCCTGAGCTAGTGGTGGAAATTGCATATTCCCGTGACGGGGGTGAGTCTATCCATAGGACAATCACTTTTGGACTTCCCCTCAAAGTGGTACCCACTTTACCGACCCCGGAGGGATGATGGGTTGAGTCGATTCCAGCACCAGGATTTGAATTCGCAGCTTTCTGATTGCTCGCTCTACTGCTGACTAAGAAGCCACGTGGTCGGTTAATAGGTGTTCGCTAATGGCACCTGCCCCAACAACAAAAAAGGGTCTGAATGAGGGAGAGGTATACGACTCCTTTTGTTTTCCATCGACGGCTCGAGGCCGCAAAAGCTCGTGGCCTCTTGACCTCACCGATGCTGTGGCTGGGAACCGTGGCCCCGGGCTCCAGTGCCTCCGTGCTCCCCTCCAACGTCTCAGCGCTGCCGTCCATTGGCTCCAGCGTGGCCCTGGGGGCTGTCAGACGACAAGCAGACGTGGACACGGGAGACGTGGACACGGGAGACGTGGACACGGGAGACGTGGACATGGAGACGTGGACACGGGAGACGTGGACACGGGAGACGTGGACATGGAGACGTGGACACGGGAGACGTGGACAAGGAGACGTGGACATGGAGACGTGGACACGGGAGACGTGGACAAGGAGACGTGGAGATGGAGACGTGGACACGGGAGACGTAGACACGGGAGACGTGGACACGGGAGACGTGGACAGAGGAGACGTAGACACGGGAGACGTGGACAAGGAGACGTGAACACGGGAGACGTGGACACGGGAGACGTGGACAAGGAGACGTGGACACGGGAGACGTGGACAAGAAAACGTGGACACGGGAGACGTGGACATGGAGACGTGGACACGGGAGACGTGGACACGGGAGACGTGGACAAGGAGACGTGGACACGGGAGACGTGGACAAGAAGACGTGGACACGGGAGACGTGGACATGAAGACGTGGACACGGGAGACGTGGACACGGGAGACGTGGACACGGGAGACGTGGACACAGGAGACGTAGACACAGGAGACGTAGACACGGGAGACGTAAACACGGGAGACGTGGACAAGGAGACGTGGACACGGGAGACGTGGAAACGGGAGACGTGGACACGGGAGACGTGGACACGGGATACGTGGACAAAAGAGGGTTACAGCACTGGATGTCAGTCACAGGGAGGGTCAAATGCTCTGCTCAACATTTTTTATTTTATTTTACCAGATAAGGCCCACTGAGCTATCATACGGCTCTTTTTTTCAGATGCGACCTTGGCTATCACCAATGAAGGCTCAACGAAGTGGCTTCTGATCAACGTGGACATTTATAGCAGCCAAAATACTCTCAACGTGTGGTGTTGATTTTAAATGTGGAGGGCGGAAAACCGGAGGACCCGGAGAAAAATCCACGCGACAACAAGGAGAAATAGACACGAAAACTCCAAATATACAACAGGCGTCAGGATCGGGATCAAACCCACGTGCCCCCTGAATACCAGGCAAGGTAGTGAACATCTCGCCACTGTGGCCCATCCTTCTTGCAGCCCTAAGCCAGTGCTAGAAATTCCGGCTTCCTCCATGTAGAGGCCCTCACCTCCTTGCCAGCAGGGCCATGAGCAAGGATGCGCAGGGCTGCACTTTTACCTTTATATTTTCATTGGACTCGAGACTCACAGCGGACGTCGAACATAGGGTTGACCCTGCCCTGCATGTTCATCCAATACTGAACTCTGCGTTCTCATCTCTGGGAGGCTTAAATGCGAATATGTTTTTTTTCTTGTTTTAAATACAAGTTTATAATCGCCTATATTCAAGCCAAACGTGAGCATTCTAGGCCCTGCATAGAAATCGTTATAATTTACACACAATACTAATCACTCACGACCGTCTTACGTGTACAGCAAATGACAATCATGTCGCCCCTAAATAAATACGTACATACGAATAGAATGTTTTTTTTTTCTTCTAAATTCCTTTGCTCTGCATTCCAAATTCCTGTCGGGTACGATATCGAGCAGTGCTCGTCGTAGGTGTCCTTACAGGGACCACGGCGTTCTCCTACCACCAGTGGGTGCCACAAGAGGCGTGTGACGCCAAAAGTCGAACAACGAAAATCAAATAACACGAGCGGATGTGAGACGCTGCTGACGCTGCCGCTGCTGCATTGGAAGGTGGTGAAGGCGGGCGTGGCACCGCTGGGCCAGCCCAGCCTGATCGTTGCACCGCCCGTGGTGCCTCGCGGTTGATGTGCGCGGCACGGAGGGGCGACGGACGAATCACGAGCAAGCCGCTGGCGCTACGCATGTGCGTACGAATGTGTAACACGTAGCAGCAGCAGGCTTTCGCGACCCAATGTTATTGATAATAAAGGTTTTTAAGGTGAGATCGCAGTAAGTATAAATGTGTCGTAACCCTCCACCACCCGACACAGCCAATTAGTCAGGGATTTGTCACGTAAATAGAACGCCAATTTAGTTTGCTACTTCAGCCCACCGGTGTATTGGAGAGTAAATTTACAACATTAACAATTTGAGCACGGCGTTTCGCCGGTAATTACATCCAGCATCATCGGGCGATTTGCCAGAGTAAGAATGTTGAACTTATTTTTTTTCACCGTACTTAGCCACTTTAAAGATTCAAGATTGAAAATGTATTTCTTTAGAACTGCTTTTTTGGCATTTCATTTCGTGTGCTTCACCCCGCACCTCCGATAAAGCACCGTTGGCTACGTACGGCGCGAAAAAACTTCGATTTACGCATACGTACGATGGGGGCAGATCGAGGGGGGGGGGGGACGAGCGAGACGGGAGGGGGGAGGTCCGTTTAATGCCCCCCCCCACCACCACCAACCCCACACACCCCCCCCCCCGCCCGTCCTCCCTGACCACCCCACACCGCCTGAAGCAGGGAATGAAAGAGCGCTTGAAGATTCGCAACGCGGGCAGCGAAGGGAATTCGCCGTGAAGGCCGCCGATTTACGGGCGCGCGCAACGCGGCGCGTTTGCTGCTCCGGAAAAACTGAGCCGTCAATTCAGAGTGCCCGGAACAGGAAAGGGGCAGGCGGGAAGGTTGTGGAAACGGAGTTTCGTCCCATTTTTTTTGTGGTTGTCGATTTGGTTGTCATATTTTAGAGGTCTCATGCCGGGGGGGGGGGGGAATGGACTCGGCCCAATCCTTGCAGCCCACCACGTGTTGGTTACAATGAAAATGAATCGGCAATTAGGACGTGCAACGCAACTCCCCACGCGACCAGGCCACACGATGCAGCGCACGTGGAAAGAACAACAGGTGCGTCTCGAGAGATGGGAGGAAGAGAGAGGTTGACGATTTCATATTCGTAGAGCAATGACAGTTTGGGGAGTAGAATACGAATCATTAAATGAGTACCACCTGTCCTTCCCCTTGCCATACGAATGCGGAATTTCCACCAGCGGAGATGAGCACCGCCCAATGCTCTTTTCAGTAGGGAGAAGGCTTGTGACCACGTTGACGAGATGTTAACTACCTCGCCTGGTATGCAGGTGGTCGTGGGTTCGACTCCGACCCTGACGCCTGCACATTTGGTCACGTGGATTTTTATCCGGGTCCTCTGGTGTTTCCCTCCACATTTAGAAACATGAGTTAAGAGTATTTGGTTGCTGTATATTTCCACCTGATAAGCCACTTCGTTGAGCTATCATTTGTGACCACGTCGCTTAACTATATAGCTCAGTGGGTCTTACCTGGTAAAATAAAAAAATATATAGTTTAGTTTTTAGTTTAGTTTATTTATTCTGCTGGATGGACAACGTTGGAGGGATTTAAGAAGCTTGTTCAATTGGTTTAACCATCCTTGCCTGGAGATGGAATTGAACCTGCGACCTCTAAATTGCCCATCAAGGGCAGTGTGCTAACCGTTTAATCGCCGTGGCAGCAGCAGCGCCCCTTGTATGTAACTGGACCCAAACGCTCAGGGCCTCCTACCAGCCAGAGCAAACAACGACTCACCCGTCGAAGGGACCCTTCTACGAGCTGCGTTCATCTCAGCCACCAAATGCGCGTTTGTGCCTCTACACACGGGTGCCTGCAATGTGCCCGTTCTGCTGTTGTTCTTGTTGTTAAATTCATCCCCTACGACAACCGTGCGGTAATTCATAGTTGCGGCAGAAAAAAAATCTGATCTGGAAACAAATTCCGGGGGCATTCATTATGGTTAAGGACGGACCGTGATGATCACGGCGTTCCATCGTTCCCCAGCCAATGTTACATTAAAAAAAACTCTGTGGAAACACGGCACACGAGAGGAACATCATTATTAAGAAGTGTCTTTATTCTAGCAAGTATTAGTCAGAATCAGAGATAAGTGGTTAACTCAAAGTAATGCCGGGTGCGATCGCTGGAACACAATGTCCCCTGGCCACGTTCCCACGAGGCATTCTCCCTCCGCTCGTGATTTGCGCTCCTTGCGCGTGTAGCGACGTAAACGGGCTATGTACACTAACCTGTAGGGGCAGACACAGTCCAGCAGGGGCAGTCGCTATCTCCCTAGCCCCAGAGCAGGAGGGGGCTGTGGGGTGTCCTGGGATCCCCCGGAGCCCCCTCTGGAACTCTCTAGAAGGTAGGCGGAGCCAGGGCTGACGCACCGGTGCTGGGTATAAAAGCCGGACCCCTGGAAGGGTCCGGGGCCAGTCCAAGACAGAAGCAAGAAGACCGGCTAGATAGGACCCTGGGACCCCTAGCCCCGCTGCCCTTGTAAGGACCGGGACTCTGTGTGGCTCAGTGGTGAGACACTGGGAACCCCCGGCCCGACGTGCTTGTGAGGGCCGGGTCCGAGCGGGCCAGTGGTCGGAACCTGCACCCTGGCTAGGTCGGGTTAGAGTAGCCTCCCCTAGGCACCCATAGCTGGAGGGCCCAGAGTTGAGGTTCCGTGTTAGGGCACGTTAGCCCGGAGGCAGTACCTCCCCAGGCAGTGGTGATAGAAGGGCCGTTGCCCTGAGTGTGCCGGGACCGTACTGCCGAGTATTGTGTAAATAAATAGTGTTGCCTCCAAGATCCATCTCCGACGTCTCCAGAACCCACAACACTACACGTGTAACCGTGCGGCCACGCGTTGTGGCTAGCGTTGGCCAGATGGATGAATGTGTAACTTCTTTCGCACCGCGCGTAGTCACCGCACGTGCTAATCGGGGGTATGCAGGACGTCGGGGGTTTGATCCAGACCCTTACGCCTCCATATTTGGAGTTTGCGTGTCTCTCTCTGTCCCCGTGGTCACGTGGATTTTTCTCCGGGTCCTCCGTTTTTTTTCCCCTCCACATTTAGAATTGACTTCACGCATTCAGAGCATTTGTGTTGCCGCTCTACGTTTCCGCGTGACGATAAACCCACTTCGTTTTGAGCCATCGTTTGCGATGGCCAGGTGGCTTCCCACAAAAAAAAAGAGCCACGCAGCTCAGCGGGACCCTTAACACCTGGAAAAAAATAAAATAAAACGAAGCAAACAACAACAACAAAAAGGTCAACAGTTCACCGGCCGTGCTGAGCGCCGGACCGACGGACAGCTGGGTCCGGAGAGTCTCCGCCTGGGCCGTCGTCACCATCGCCGCCACCGCCGCCGTCTCGGGCTCCCGGCAGCAGCTGTGCAGGACGAGCGCGCACAGCGAGCCCAGCGAGCCCAGAGACGCCTCGCAGTCACGGCCCCGTCGCCTGGCCCGCAGGCCCAGCGAGCAGCACTCGCAACACTGCTGCTCACCGGCGGCGGCGTAAAGGGGCAGGGAGGGGTAGCAGCAGCGGGGGCAGCGGCAGGGGCAGCAGCGGCAGTGGTGGTGGAAGCAGCGGCAGTAGCAGAAGTAGCAGCGGGGGCAGGGGCAGCAGCGGCAGGGGCATCAAAGGCAGCGGCAGCAGCGGCAGGGGCAGCAGGGGCATCAAAAGGCAGCGGCATGGGCAGCAGAGGCAGCGGCAGGGGCAGCAGCGACAGTAGCATAAGTAGCAGCGGGGGCAGCGGCAGCAGCGGCAGGGGCATCAAAGGCATCGGCAGGGGCAGCAGCGGCAGTAGCAGAAGTAGCAGCGGGGGCAGCGGCAGGGGCAGCAGCGGCAGGGGCATCAAAGGCAGCAGAGACACACGCACGAATTCATCTCTCGCCACTTCCGCCATGAGCACTGCCCTCACAACAGAGGCGCAGCGCTCCCCAGCAGGGTCACTGACAGACTTCTGGATGGAGCGGCGCATTTGTTTCTTGCATGCTGCATTCGGGGTGGTGCACAAGCCCCCCGAATGATACGAACTCAACACATAATGTGGACGACGCTGTCCCAAAGAGGAAACACGTGAAAGAGATGATATTTCGGGTAATGGTCCTTATTCATAACCATAGCCTATGACGGAAATCCACTGCCTGGAAACATGTGTTGATTTTTTTAAGAAGTTGTGAAGGTCATAATGGTGATGATGATGATGGTGGCAATGATGATGGTGACCATCCACACACATGCTACTGATGATGATGTAGTGGTGCTGACAATGATGACGGTGATGCAGATATGCTACTGATTACGATGATGATGTAGTGGTGGTGACATTGATGATGGTGATGCAGACATGCTACTGATGATGATGTAGTGGTGGTGACAATGATGACGGTGATGCAGACATGCTACTGATGATGATGTGTTGGTGGTGACAATGATGACGGTGATGCAGATATGCTACTGATTACGATGATGATGTAGTGGTGGTGACAATGATGACGGTGATGCGGACATGCTACTGATGACGATGGAGGCTGTAACACCTTGTAATGCACAGCCCCACACGGATCCAAAGGCTCAGCGGTGCAGAAACCGCCCCTCTTGGCCACAGAGATCCCAGCTCCGCACTGTGACTCCTGCACGGCAGCAAGGCAGCACTGCTCCTGCGTGATCCTGCAGCCATATCATCATCATCAGCAGCAGCAGCAGCAACAGCAGTATCATCAGCATCAGCAGCAGCAACAGCAGTATCATCAGCATCAGCAGTCACAGCAGTTTCAGCAGCAGCAACATTATTTGCAGCGATAGAAACAGCAGCAGCTGTGTCATCACCGTCAATAGGGTTGCTTGCATCAGTATCACCATCACCAATAGCACTCTCTGCACGTTCATCATCATTGGTTGCAGCATCAATAGCACATTGGCATCGTGATAAGTAGCAGCAGCAGCACTGTCCACACTATCATCATCGTCGTCAGCATCACCATCATTAATAACACTATATCATCATCGCAGCAGCAACAGAGGTCCAATCTTTATTACCTATGCTGGTGTCATCAATCTCTGCCGTCCATGGAATTACAATCGCAGCACGTCACTGTGCCGAGCCGTACGCAAGTGTATAGACAGCGCGCCTAACCGCATTACGAAGCGACGGGCGGCAGCATCTGTAGCTGGCCACGAGCGAATTGACACGGAATGGACATCCCCTGCAATCAAATGACACCGCCTGCGCCTGCACGTCCTTGGTTCCCGTAAGCCCTGCGAGCCAACATCTCAACATTGATACCATCGCAACTGGCTTGTCACCAGTGCCGGATTCAGCGAGTGCGGGGCCTGTAGCAATTGCTACTTTTGCTACGAGGATAATCCGGCGCTGGTTGTCACGCCAAAAAAAACTCAAATCAATGGGAAACACGTTGTGGTGACTGTGCAGGGTTGACAAGTAGTTCTCTGGTGGGATGGGATTTAGTGTTGTTGTTCCTCTGCTGACAGAATTTTTATAAACAAATTTACGCGGACATTTTGTCTGCCTGTTTACTTAAACGTTGGCCTGAAACTCTGTAGCCTAACAATGAACCCTGTACAGAGAGAGTCCAGCCGAGTACATTACGGAAGCGTTCTTTGTAAAAGAGGGCCCCACCGCTGGGAGAGTTTGGCCAATGTCTTATTTGAGTTCGTTCTGTTTTTGTGCGTGGGAGGAAACCGGAACGCCCGTAGAGCAAACCCCCCCACACCCCGCGCAAACTGCCCGTCAACAAGACGCGTTTCGCCACCGGCGATTTTAACCGAACCCCAGCCCTGCGTCGTCCCTAGGGAGGGTACGGCGAATCGGGGCGACCGCCCAGGGCCCCGCACTTTGGGGTGGCGGTGAGGTGGGGGGGACGCGCTTCGACGTCAAGATGTCAGATGAGATACTTCCGGTTTGGTTTGGAGGCGTCGGAGGGCACAACCACCGTGGGGTTTGCCCCGCGGCCCCGCACACACCCCCACCCCCCCCGAGACGGCCGTGCCCCCGACCTATCAATTTATATATCGATCCCATGAGCGCAACTGGCAATGGGCTGTGAGCCATCGTGCAGTTCGCAGCATGCTTCAAACAGAAAGGATGGTGAACATTGGTAGTTATGATGGTGCTGTTTGTGATTATGATGGTGAACATTGGTTGTTATGATGGTGCTGTTGGTGATTATGATGGTGATAGTGCTGCTGCTGCTGATGATGATGAAGGCTGGTATATCTGATTGTGCTGCTGATGATTATGATGATGGTAAAGACTGGTAGTTATGATGGTGCTGCTGATGATGATAATAATAATTATTCTGATGATGCTGCTGCTTCTGCCACTGGCTGATGATCGCGGCGTCTGCGAACGACAACAATGTTCCAACTACGCTTGCACTGCCCACGACGACGAGTGGTGACAACGGCAGCGGTGTGGAGCGGGCAAATCGGTGCGGACGGAGGGTTGGTGGTGGTGGTGGTGGCGGTGGCGCTGAACCTGCACTCTTCCGTGACTCCGCGAGGTTTCGAGGCCACGTCAACGCAGTGACCCGTGGCCATCGCCCACGATCGCCCCTCGTCGCAGCAGCTCCCGATCAGCTCCTCCAGAGAAGCTGTGGCAGCAGGTGCAGGCCAGGGGGGCGGAGGGGGGGTTGGGGGTATTACGAATCAAAGAGGAGGAAGAGCAAGACGCGTCGCGTTCCCTGTCGCGTCGTGAATAAACATAAACAAAAACTTTTCGCGATAAGCGGTTTTTTTTGGGGGGTGGGGTTGGATCGCGTTTTTTTGGGGGGCGATGTAACACAAAAAACCCTTATTATGAATAATATTGGTCGTGAAAAACTAAAAATAGAAATATTGTAGCAGGTCAGGCCCATTGAGCTGCATAGCTAAAAAAAAATCAGAAGCGACCTGGACACAAATTCTTACTTTTTTCATCACCGCACACCGCCGATTTGATCAGCCCCTCCAGCGTTTTAAACTTAACCTAGCTGTGTCGTTGGCAAATGTTGAAGTGACGAACTGCACATTTAATATCTGAATCAAACAATTTGTCTGTAGATCACTGATATCCATATGAAAAATATTTAAAACATTTTTATTTTACCAGCTAAGGCTTAGTGAGCTATATGGCTTGTTTTCGGAAGCGACCTGGCTATGACAAATGATAGCCGCACGAAGCGGCTTGTCACGTGGAAATGTACATCAGCCAAACAATCTAAAACGCATGTTTCCAAATGTGGAGGGTAAAACCGGAGGACCCGGAGAAAAATCAACGTGACCACGGGAGAGAGAGACACGCAAACTCCAAATATACAGCAATCGTCAGGGTTGGGATCGAACCCACGACTTCCTGTATACCAGGCGAGGTAGTGAACATCTCCTAGCCACCGCGGTCCTCGTGATGAAGCCTCCCTTCTCAAGCGGGTGGAGCGACTGTGATAAGTGACCGCCGATTTGGTATGGCTTTGTTAAAATTGGACTTTGACGAAAGCTTCGGGAGCGGAAAACGAAACTTTTTTTGATGCGATAAATTAATGAATGAGCATAAATCAGGCAAGGTTGTTTGCTCGCTGAAAACTATACAACGTGATGTACGTAGTGTATTTGGGTGCAGCGGTGGCACGGCGCACTGCCCTACGCAGCTGGCAAACCTGAGTTGGATACGCGGCCTCGGCTAACGTCAATATCTAAACCTGTTCTGGGCACCGCCCTGCGTCAACCTGCAAAGACCAACGTGGCGAAGTATGGTCAAACAACCCCCATTAAAAGGGGCACGGTGAGATCCCCATCCAGCAGTGCAATGACAAGTAGGATTTGTTTTCAGCGATACGTTCATCTCCCGAGCGCTGGCGCTCACACGCTAGCACTGACTCTTAAATCTACAACAGGCGTCCGGATCGGGATTGAGGTTTGCTGCGTTACCGGAGTGGTAACGGAGCAACCCTCGAACCGCCGCCGCCCTCCTGGCACGGGAACGTGGAATGTACCTGCTTGTAGGAAGAGCCAGAGCGCGACGCACGGCACGAGCAGAGCTCGCCGCCAGTGGCTCCCCATGGCAAAGCGGCGCTACTCCCGGCACCACCACCACCAACCACCACCACAACCACCACCAACCACGCCGATAAGCGCTAGTGCTTGGTCGCTGCCCGCCTGGCCACGGAGTTGACTCACGACCTAGCCACCCGTGCAATCACGGGGCACTTTGAGATGTTTTTTCTACCACCACCACCCCCCCCCCCCACACACTTTCACAATCGACGCGTTACTCCGGGCGGGCGTGTGTTGCTTGCTGGGCACAGACACATAGAGGGGCCTCAGTGTGCACGTGAGAGGCCGTGACGCCAGGACACGCGGCGTCCTCTCGCGTTCACGTTTGGGCCCCCCCCCCCACACACCGGACCGTCCCCCACCCCCCCCCCCCCCCCCGTGAGCTGAGGCAATCGACGCACGTGGCTGGACCTCACCCATTGACGTCTCGTGGAGGTGGTGGCGGTGGTGGACTCATGCTGTTGGATGGACAGAGGTAGAGAGAGAGAGAGGTGGAGGGAGGCGGGTTTAAGAAACTCGCACGGTCGTTTAACAGCTGCCGCGCCTGGAGATTGGATCGGGTCTGTGACCCCCTTCTGGATCGCGGGTCCGTCACGCGGCCACTGCGTAGCAGCAGCAGCGTCCCAGAGCAATGTTAACAATCGTGTTATATTTATTATTTGATTTTATTAAATGATTGTATTGACTTCTTGTCGGTGAATTTATTACATTCACAATCCTGTGAATGTAGTTCATTCACCAACAGGCTTGTTGTGAATAATATATATTTTACATTAAAAAAAACCGCATCTATTGTGATTATTTAAATTCACGTATGAACGTTACATTCGTATCAATGCACTATTAACTATGCAGTTAGTCATGAACATTCTTTATTCCACTGCCAAATTATTTTTTTAATTCTTAATCACATTTCTGTATGATTAATCCCGCACCGCCGATTAGTACGGTTGGTCATGTATGGCGCAAAAGAAGTTCCACATACATTGTCAATTTAAAACGTAGGCTTTGTCGATAAATATTATTGCTAATAAAGGTTTTTGGGTTAGATCGCTGTCAGTATAAATGTGTCGTAACCCTCCACCACCCGACACAGCCAGTAAGGTTGTGGATGCTGGATGTAATTACCAGCGAAACGTCGAACTACTCAAATTAGAAATGTTGTGGATTTACTCTCCAACACACCGGTGGGTTGAAGTAGTAAATCACTGGCGCGTTGATTACGTGACAAACCTTACTGGTTGTGTCGGGTGGTGGAGGGTGACGACACATTTATACTTACAGCGATCTAACCCACACACCTTTATGAATACATTGGCAATGGAACTGACTATCCCACATGCATTGCGTGCGCTGTGTTCATGCCTCATCAGCTGTACCACGGACTACGATGATGATTTACTGTGGCCATCAACCGCATGCCCCCTCCCCGTGTAAACCGGGGGCGCCACGGTGCCTAGGGCATGTTAACTACCTCGCCTGGTATACAGGAGGTCGTGGGTTCGATCCCGACCCTGACGCCTGCTGTGTATTTAAGAGTCAGCGTGCTCTCCCCGTGGTCACGTGGACTTTTCTCCGGGTCCCCCGGTGTTTTTGTTCCCCCCCCCCCCCCCCTCCCCTTCGTGTTTAGAATCGACATCGCGCGTTTAGAGCATTTGGCGGCTCATACATATTTCCACGTGACCATCAGCCACTTCGTCTGAGCTATCATTTGTGGCCAGGTCGCTTCTGAAAAAGAGCTGCATTGCAGCTCAGTCGAGGCCTTTCGCCTGCTAACGTAAAATAAAAAAAAAGAGTTAAACAAAAAAAACAGTTCCATCGGCTGACAGTCGCTCCCGGTGGCATGACCTCGTGCGCGATGGAGCAGCACACGCGAGGCCCCCTTTGTATGCACGCGCAAGCGAGTGCCACCATCCGTGAACGAAGTTCACCCGTTTAGTCGGCGCGTCGTTCGCAGAAAGGAAAGGAAGAGAGAGAGAGACGGGCGCAGGGGAGTAGAGGGAAAGCGTGCGAGGGGTTACAATCGGTCGGGACGTTTCTACAAGAATAACAACAACAACAAAAATGCGTGTACATACTAACGCGACTGGTTATGCGCGCAATGGCGTTGGTATAATAGTCAACACGTTGGGCTCGCAAATTCAGAGGTTTCCAGTTTTCCCGTTGCGGCAGTTGCGACATTATTCACGTTCCTTAAAACCCAACCCCGCCCTTCCCACCGCCACCGTTCACCCAGCAGAGTGAATGGGTTTGCCGCAATGAACATGATCGGCTGGTCGCACGTGGTGGGTGTAAAGTGTGGGCACCGTCACCTCTTCCTCCAAGACGTTTCGCCAGCGTGGAAGCGACAGCCTAAGTCTCCTCTTCAGAAGGTCTCTCCAGAACTACCTCGAGTGGGAGTCTTCCCGATGGCAGTAGCACGAGCCACTTGCACTTTTTTTCTGATCTCGTCAAGGAGCACAGCCATCGTCACTCCAACTGCGGTCATCGCATTGCGCGCTTTCAGATGCGCCTTCTGCGGCTGTCTGGAACGCTCTCCCTTCCGATATCAGGAAGCTACTTGAGATGCGCAGTTTTAAATCTCGATTTTGAAACGAATTTCTTTAGAACTGCCCGTTTGTGTTCAGTTTGTTGTCCTGCCCCCGCATATCGGATTAGCACGGTTGGCTACGTGCGGTGCGAAATCAGTTATCCGTACAGACCTTTCTGTTTGATTTGGAACTTTCGTGACTGCAGGAATTAATGTTTGGCTCTTTCGGTAAAGTCACGTAGAAATAAAATAAATTAAATAATAGAGTACGACGTTTCGATTGCAACACAAGCGATCGTCATCAGGTACGAATGAATGAGAAAACAAAGCTAGTGAACTTAGAAATATAATGCAATACAACACAGAGAGTCGGCTAACATAACAGTCAACACCCTACCTGGTTGATTACGTTCTTCCAAAGATTGCTAAATTTGAGAGAGAGAGAGAGAGAAACAAAACACAGACACGGAGACACACAGACAGACACATAAGCAGAGAGAGACAACACAGGGACACACAGAGAGAGACACACACATAAACAGAGAGAGACACACACATAAACAGAGAGAGACAACACAGAGACACAGAGAGAGACACATAGGCACACAGAGAAACAACGCCTCTGTGTCGAGGCCTTAAATACGTTTACAAGGTTTGTTTTCTCATTCATTCGTACCTGATGACGATTGCTTGTGTTGCAATCGAAACGGCGTGTTCTATTATTTAATTTTTTAAATATTTTATTTCTCCGTGACTTTACCGAAAGAACCAAAAAGTAATACATTTATGTTTATTACATTTTCATTCTGAAAAGCCTCACTGAGTCTTAAGATTGTTATTTTTTTCAGGCGGATCCTGCATTTGAACGTAAAGTGGATGCCATTCATCGGTGCTTAGTTTGTGTTTAAAGAACCCAGGCTCCCTGGAGAAAGCTCACGATTATGAAGGGATAACCTGATTCTAGAGTGCCGGGTTGGAAGGACGCAAATCGTGCCAAATCTACAACGTTGCAATCAAATTCAAACAGCTCATTGCGGAGAAACGGTATTTGGCGCAACATTTTTTTAAAAAAAAACTTTATTTCAGCACTTATTTCAGAGCTTCGGCATACAAAGTGTAATGTATAATTCAACACACCCTTCAATTAAGATATGAATATATAAGTCTGCGTGATGATGCCCACGGAATGCGGAGTGCATGCATTAGGTGGCCACTGAAGAGGAGAGAGAGGTTACATTTCGCCTGCGTGGCTTTTCGTGAGATGACAAGACTTGTCTTGATGCAATCACCATCGGTGGTGACCTGTCAGCTCTTTATGTGTGTATGTGTGTAGAATTATATTTCGCACCGTACCTATCCGACCGTGCTCATCGGATGGTGCAGGCGAGAGAGAGAGAGGGTGGGGTGGGACAACAAACTGAACACATTAACGATGGCAGAGAACAGCACCGCGCGCGATCCCCGCTTGCCGCAGCGATGTGCGACGGTTTTAGCTGTTGTTGTTGTTTACGCTTGCCTGTTCCTACTCAATAATTCATCCTTGTCAGCTCCGCGTCAGGAAAACGTCCGACGCGCGTGCCTTTGGTGGGGCAGCTCGCGCCTCGAGAACGTTCCAAACCCCGGGGCAGGTCAACATCGTTTAGCACAAACAAGAACACACACGCGCGCACGCACGCACACACGCACCCAGCGACTGGGTAGAGGTCCCGTTACTCCGAACAAGCGTCCGCCTTTCTCCCTCGCCAATCCGGGGGGGGGGGGGGGGGTTGGGGGGGGGGGGGGGTGCGGAAGGAGTGGGGAGGGGGAAGGAGTTGGATGGAGGGGGTCATTCACGGTGGCACCAGCCCCGCTTCAAGGCCGCTTTTCACCCCCCCCCCCCCCCCCGCCGAGCACTGCAGTCGATCGCCTGGCCCGGTGGGGCCTTGCGCAACCTCTTGGGGGGCTGGGGGGAGGCGCACTTCTATTTGGCGCGCGTGCCTCTCGCGACCGGCCATGTGCGGTTTTTTTTATGCCGCCACCCCCCAACACCCCCCCCCCCCCCAACACACCGCCCCCCATCTCTCTGTGCCAAACTCCGTGGAAGCGAGGGAGATTTTAGCGGAACCGCGCGCGCGAATCCCGCGTGGCGGGGGAAGACGCCACTCGAGAGCGGCGTGAGACGGCTCCTGTCAAGCTCGGCTGCTCTTCGTTGCGAGCCAAATGACCCCAAACCCAACCCCCCCCCCCCTCTCCCCCCCTCCCCCGTGGCCCACCGGGTGGTGGCCCTGAGTGCGGCCCTTGACGGTTCGGCCTCCCGCCGACAATGCACAGCAAGTGCGGACAACCCGCTCGTCATCATCGCCGTAGTCCTCGTGCTGCTGTCAAACGCCCCCAATGGTTTCAGAATTGTGTGGTGGCTCTCGTGCCGGTGATGTCTTATCAGCGAGAGTACCCCCACCCCCTACCCCCCGTGAAAAGGGGTGAAGGACACTTGGCTTAGCTTTTGCCACCCAACCCCCAACCATCCCCGTCCCTTCTATCCCCTTCCTTGTGTTCTTTCTTTCACCTCCCCTATTACTACCACAAAAAAACAATCCACGATCCGTTTCGCGGTCCCCACCTCGGTGGATTGTATTTGATTTCCATTCATTTCTATGGGTTTTTCTCGACATCCTCCAGACATATACTGGGCGTGCAAAAATACACTCGTAAAAAATGCAGTCAAAAAAATCTCAGAGCAGGACTCTCCTGAACAGAAATCTTGAGGCTTAGTGAGAAAATCCTGGTTATGTAATAATATTTGTTATTATTTGAATGCATGATAGCTATCAGTATAATATGAACAACTTCAAGCATCACACTTAAACAACAAATTCCAAATGCTATGGTGGGCAGTGCAAATAAATAAATGTAGTTATTCATCGAAATATTTTACTTTGGGTTTTTTCCCTTCTTAAAAATGTAACAGCCATATAAAAAAAATGTTATACGTTCTGTTCGCGCAAAGCGATTTGTGCAACTATTGCTTTATTGAGGTCTCCTTCACGCCAAGTTACAGTATTCCGTAAAACAGTGGCCTCTTTCAGACGATCAAATATTGCGTTTGTGGGTGAAATAGCTGCATGCGAGGGTTTGAACCAGACTTCTCTCAGCGCCAGTGATGTAAAAAAAACAGTCTACAGCTTCTAACTTTAACAAATATAGAACTCCTCGTATCCGCCTATGCTGAGGGCGAGCAAACGTTAAAAGATTAGTTTTTTTCCGCGAGCGTTATCCACAAAGCATATACATATTCTTAACGTGGATAAACTTGCGAGTAATGGGATGAATCTCGCCGATGAACTCTCGTGTCAAAGAATGTTGAGGATAATGGGAAGCTGTTCCACGTTGCGGATAATGGGAAGCTGATCGGGGGAGGGGGGGTGAGTGGATATAGGAATAGGGCCACGGATAATAGTATTCGCTGACCCTACAGTTCCAGTGGACAATAAGGGTTGAGGGTAATAGGGTCCCAGATATGAGGAGCTTCTGTGGTAGTGTTTTTGTAGCAATAGGTTAGAGGCGACTCCTGCTGCTGATGATGATGATTATGATGTTGAGTATCACTGTGTGGTAAGTCAATGGACACTGTCCTGTAAACACACTTACCCCTGGACCAGGATCTACAAGCTGGAAGACATCGGGGCTGACTGATCGTGAAGCGACGAGGTGGAAGACGTCGGGGCTGACTGCTTGCGGAGATGTATGTTCGTAATTTTTCAGAAAATAAAGACGTCGACTTTTTTTATGATGGACGTCTCCAAGGAGCTTCTTTACAGATGTGTAGTGACTAACTCGGAGACAGTAAGACTTGGAGGCACTACTTTCATGTAACGAGCACTATCGGGATAATACACAACACCACGTGGGTACACACTATTACTGTCACTAGCCTATACACAACACCACGTGGGTACACACTATTACTGTTGCTAGCCTATACACAACACCACGTGGGTACACACTATTACTGTTACTAGCCTATACACAACACCACGTGGGTACACACTATTACTGTTGCTAGCCGATACACAACACTAACCGTCTAACACTGACGGCGCTGAACGGAGGCAGCCAACAACTATCTAGCAGCGCAATGTCGAGTGAAGCAGACAGCGACGATGGCGACGACGAAATGGTAACGACGACTATCTTGAGCTGCACGACGGGGATCCCACTCTAACAACAGCCCCGAGGTCCCCCACAGGGGCCCTTCTTTTACTCTCAGCGTGGCCTCGCTCCGCCCCGGCCACTCCCCCTCTCTGGAACCTTCTAGCGAGTTCCCGAGGCTTCCCGTTGGGCCCCCCCTCTGTGACCTTTACCCCATAGATGTATCCCTCTCGTGTCTATCGTGGCCAGCTGACGTCGGAACTGCCATACACCGCAGATCCCCTTTCTCGCCAGCAGCCAGCGCTATGCCACTATAGATGTGTAGTGGGTTCTATTGAGACGCACTCTTGAGTATGGAGGCAACACGTTTTATTCACTCGCACAACAGGTAAGGCTACACTCGACGGGATAACGACTAAGGGTGGTAACCACCCTGTTTAGCTACATAACACTTACGGGAACTCTATATAAACTGCTGGGCCAGTTAACACGTTGCTCGGCTCTGGACGACTTCTCTCACGCCCAAAGACCGAGGATCCAAGACTTGACGGGCGGGCCCCATCTCTCTTTGACAGCCCTCAAACGACGGCAACCCTGCCGGCTTCTCCGCCCCTGCTTATATCCGCTCCGGCGTGGCCGGAGCGGATATAAGCCGGTCAGATCGTACGTTGGCTGCTCTGACCCGACCGATTATAGTTATCCTGTATGCGAGAGGGATAGGTGTCTTATAGTCCCGTGTGTAACAAGAGTGAGAGATAGGTGCATTAGTCCCGTGTATAATGGTGTTGCATAAGTGTAGAATAAATGTTGTTGCCTCCTAAATAGTGTCTCTGAAATAGATTATTATTATTTCTCACAGACAGGGCAGCTCTTGACTGACTCACCGAGAGCAGAGATGGTCGCTGGCGCCGGCGGTCCTGTGCTATCAGCATCAGGCGGTGCAGGAGCGACTGCGGCAGTGGTGGCGGCGGTGGTGGTGGAGCCATGAGCGCTGAAGTCCCGCGCCCACTCGGTGGTCACTCCTCTGTTCTGGCCACGGTGCCATCCGATCGTCGCTTGCACCTCGGACACTTGTTTGGCGGCCGCCGTCCCGGTCACAGATGAGGCATCCTTGACCGTTATCCATCCGGCAGCGTCCGAGTCGAACGCGTGACCGATGGTGCCCCACGTGCCGAAGCGCCCATTACCTTCAGGAGAGAGTTGTCCGTGCTTCTCTCTGTGTGGGGCGGCTGCTGTGCCATGCGCCTTGGCGTTTACGATCTCTCCGTGCTCCGAGATGCCACCGCTTTTCCCGCCGTCTGTCGGCGTTGTCGCTGCGGCCGGTACTACGGGAGACTTGAGTGTGTTTTCTACCTCCCGAGTAAGGACAATTCCACCGTGCCATGCCCTCGGCCCATCAAGATTGTTACCCTCTTCCTCGTCACTCCTGTCATCATCGTTTTCCCCTTCTGACCGAGTCACATAATTGTCTGCAAGTTGTGCACTTCTCTCCAAGTTGGGCGCAGTGTCAACGTACTCAGGTACCTTTGCAGAGGCAGTTTCACTGAAATGAAATCTAACGGGGGGCAGTTCATTCACTGATGGGTCGTGAAGGCCGTTTTCCACTCCGAGCGGCACATGCAGATTCGGCTGCACTCGTATGCCCGACAGGTTCAGCGGGTGGGGCTGATGTTTTGGCAAGGATGGGTCATGTACATCGGGACTTGGATAATTCGCACCCACGTCCCCGTACAATGGATACGAGGGCAGGGCATTCGCATGCCATGGATAATCAGGATGCTCTGCGAGTCCCAGGTCAAATCCATAGGCAAAACCATCGCCACCATCGCCACCAGCATTATCATAATGACTGCCGTCACCATCTTTACCGTAGTCATCCCCTCGCCTGCCTCCCTTGTTGTCCACCAGCGAGGGCTCTGATCCAATGCCATAAGCAAAGCCATCGCCACCGCCGTCGCCACCGCCATTATAATCACCACCACGTCCAGCAACAGCAGCAGCGGAAGCGGCATTCTCATAACGACCACCATAGCTGTCTTCGCCACGGTCATCCCCTCGAGCGCCCTCCCCATCGCCCACAGGAGGGGCGGCGGCAGCAAAATCGCCAGCCGAGTCGCAGCCCGGAACGGTGTAGCACAGGAGCAGCGATTCCCCAAGGGGGCAGTGGCAGACGCGGCAGCCTGGCAGGCGGAAGGTGAATCCGGCGTCGTGATTGTGGCCATCGTCCGAGACGCAGCCGGCGCGGAGGCACACGGGGCAGTGGTCGAGCGGCCGGTGGACCTCGATGCAGTTGGACGGGAGGTCTGGGCAGGGCATGAAGCTGCAGCTGATGGAGCCGCCCCGCGCGGGGCACGAGCACGCCGTGGTGCCGTCGTCGACGTAGTAGACGTGCCCCTCTGGCACCTGCTCGCGCACCAAGCACGGAGGCTGAGTCAGCACCGGGTCGGCATCGTACGGTGCGAAAGAAGTTCAGGATTCCTACGTGCGTAATGAAGGACTCCAAAATACGGCACTTCTTGGATTCAGTTGATTGTCCTCGACAACAACGTCCAGTGCCCTACCACCAGCCAACGCAAGTCCCTTGCCTTCCCTCTCCCGAGGGCCCCCCACTTACCCCTCACCCTTCCATTTTTTCCTCTTCCCCCTCCCCGTCTCTCGTCTCCGCCCATCCCTTCCTTCTAACCAATCCCTCTGCTCCCCTTCTGACCGACTTAACTGACCCCACGCCTTTATCGCTCTCCTTCAAACCGTCCAACCAATCACCATCTAGCAAGACACGTCACAGTTAACCTTAAACAGTAGTTCCCCCTCGTGGTGGTTATGGTATCTATACACACTGTATATACACGCCTCGCTTTATCTGCGATGAACGCTGCGCTTCCCGTCATTTCCATGCAGGGGGCGCGCAGGTTTGAACGACGGAGGCGCACGGACAGACGTTCGATTACGTTGGAATCGACATGTAGAACGAGGCGATTCTGTGTCGATTCCCAGAATCGACTTGACCCGCACCGACACGACTTTGCCATTTGTTTTGCGACAATTTCCCATTCTCCCCGCGTACGCTATCACAATCGACAAGTCGCAGGGACAGACGTTCCATTACGTTGTTAAGCGCACAACTGTATCTCTCTTTCTACGATTAAATAATATAATAATATAAGATAAAACTTCTAAACGGAGCATCGGGTGCTCGCGCGAATGCGTCGTTCGCGTGCTAAATTTCGTGGCATGAAAAGTCACCCCACGTGTCATTCACAGACGCTGTCCAAGGATGTCGAACACCCTTACACAAACGTACGCGCAAAGTTGCGCGCACGCATTGAAACGCCTATTTATAATCGCCGTGATTCGATCCGTTTGAGTGAGCGTTTCATTGAGAACTGTAGTCTCAATGAAATGTGTTGTTCTTCTCTCGGACCTCCGATGAGCGCGGTTGGCTACGTACGGTGCGAACGAATCTCTGCATACATGCATAGTCATCTCTTTGTACAAAAAGTGACGATGCAGCCCTGCAGTTGTTTGCTCATGGCACTGCTGCTGCTGTAAGGGCCTCTACTCGAGAAAGCTCAAGGAGTGTCTCTCTTTTGGGCATTTATCCGCTCTTCCATGCTGGCCACACACCTTGAATGTGGTGGGAATATTCACACTGTTGGTCCACCACACACAACTGCGGTGAACCCATCTATTCTGCTGAGCGGACAGAGGCACAGGGATTTAAGAAACGTGTCCCATTGCTTCAACTGCCCTGGTGGCAGATTGTACGGAGCCAGTGATCTCCAGCGTGCTAACCATTACACCACGCGCCGGCTAAGTCCAGCCACCCTGCAGCAATGTATTCTTGAAAGTTTGAAGAATCTTTAGCGTTAGCTCCTCGTACGCGATGCATTTTATCCAACTTCCTCCCACCCGCTAAACACTCACGAATTAAATTGGTGTAACATCTCAAATGCAGGAACCCTCCTGAAAACAAGGCTCGATCCTCATTTTAACTCTCCTGCGCAAAAGAACCGCTATTACAAGGTATTACTTTTACGGCGATACACAGAATTACATACAGGCTTGGTAGGAGATGCTGGTTATACTGGCCACGATACACGGCAAAAAAAAATTCCGACTTCAATGTAAAGGTGCTCGAGCCACCCACCTGTAGAGAGAATGAGTGCTGTCTCTAAACGAGACAGCACAGCAAGTAGGTTGCCCGCCTATCTGCGCGGCGTATTCTGTGCGTGCGTTTCCTACAGCGACACGGGTTCGAACATCCACGGGCACCAGGTTGCATGCACGACACAATAGTCGATTGTTGAGAATCATGAGACCGGGCTTTTAATACCACGGTAATTTCAACATAGGAGTGGAACGCACTAAAAGCCGTCAAACACTGCGTCCTCAGCGACGCTCATACGGCATGGTAAAGATAGACCATGCAAAGGCATTTGATCCGGCGGAATGGAAAAACGAATGAACAAATTCACACGCCTCCTACGAATTCGTGGGAGGAGTGGTGGTGCATTGGTTCGCGCACTAAGGCTACGAACCCCGCCGCTTAAGTGTCGCTCCCAGCCACGGCTAATGTCAGTGGCGAGTGCCACGTCCCACCACCCCCCACCCCCCACCCCCATTTCTATAACCGGCAACGAATTGACCGGCGTGATGAAAAATGGCCAAACTACGTCTATAACCGACATGGCCGGGGGAAGCCTTCATCCAGTAGTAGATTGAAGAAGGGCTATCGTCATTATTATGCACTCACATTTTTTTTTCCTTTGCCACGTGAAAGTTGAATTTCTGTTAAATTCTTTGGGGTTGTAAAATATTCAAATTTTATATTCGTTCACACGTCTTAGGCACATCAGCTACAGGTGCCTCTTGACAACAGGAACTCCCACAGCCCTGACCAGGTTTAGCCTTTGGCCGTGCACAAAGCTGTTGAAACGAAGAATCATTCGGGAAACTGCGGTCAAAAGGCGATGAATAGAACGAAATACCTTTCCATTTGTGTATCCGGCAGCGACGCAGTCATAGTACTGATATCCGTGGCAGGTGCAGCCCAACTGAAGGCACGCCGGGCAGCAAGTGGGGGGCTCCGAGCTCTCTGCGATGCAGTGGTCGTTTGGGGGGCAGACCACTCCCGCGCAGTCCGGAGGATACGCACGACTCTCCTTCGCTCCCAGCGTCAGCGCGGCCAACGCCACGAGCACCAGGCGCAGAGCGGCCGCCGGTTGTGCCGCCGCCGCCGATGGCGCTGCTACTGCGCGATCCATTTCCTGCGCGGCCGCAAACCAAAAAGAGAGACGAGGGCGCAGAGCTCACGGCGATCGGCGAGGAGTTCCCCGGACTCGGTGAACGGCTCACGTCAAGCCCGCACCCAGGAGATTGCCCGCTCGGTGCGTCGTATTCCATTATCCCACGCGCTCCGTGGCTCTCCCAAGACAAACATTACAGGGGAAGGAGGGGGTGGTGGTGGGAGAGAACGTTCCAAAAGGACTGTGCGCGCTTTGGAAAGACGTCTGTCCCCGACGGCATTGCTCACGTGCGATATCGCTCGCAACGAAACCGCCCGCGCACCGCGAAAGGCGTCGGCCGCGAAGGACAACGGAGACAAACGCGACGGACGCATGACGGGGACGTTTGTCGGCCGGCGAACGCGACGCTCGCCGCACGGAGAGAGCGCGGGCCACGCACGCGCGCGCGTGTCTTCCCTCGCGCACAACCGCGCCCATCTGCACACGAGATCACGCATCGCCACCCACTTGCTCTTGGCAAGTGCAGCAGTTGACAGCAAATGATCTCCAAAAGAAATTTAAAAAGCCGCTGTTCACGTGGCTGGGCGCAGCGCAGGAGCATGATTTCAACGATTAGTCGGGTCAATGTGGGAAAATCAAATGAATTTGCTTGCTTACCAGTTCAAAAGTTATTGCCCGCACGCCTGCACCTCTACCCAAAGGTGCCAGACTTAAGGAATGGGCATTTTTTTATTGAACGCGGAGGGAAGTGCGTTTTTATTTACAGGATCTCTGCCAAACTGGCGACCCAGTGAAGACCGATCAGCAAATGTTCAGCTCTGAATCTGCAACAAAAGAGACACTGTTTGGCAATGCAATATGGAAACTGGGCGGGGGAGAGAAATGCTGACAACATTGCCGTAATGATGATTCGGAGTTAGGCGTTATTGTTGATGGTCCTGGAAAAAATTACTCGAAACGGAACACTGAAAAAGTTGACAACTTGCGTGTCGGTCATTTCTTACAAGCATCGCAATGTTTCAGACGCTTGGACTTTTTAGGCCCACACTTGGACAGCGTCCGAGTGAGATGTATTGCATGCCGATGGAGTAGGTGGAATATTATCAATGTCTCAAGATGGAAAGGGTTTTTTGCGTTACTTTTAAACTGCCGTAATTTTTTTAAATTATCAAATTGGGATACTTGATTCCAATATTCCCCAGAAAGTATGAAATGTCATGCATTGACACACACACACGTGTGTGCCTTGGCAACCAGACACACCGAAGAAGTACAAAATTACGATGTGTGGAACCAACAAAACCTTCCATAGATATATTCAAAAACTAATATTTGCTATACTGTACTTTCTAACCAAAACCCAATGACGCCCATTTCAACAAATACGACCAAGCAAACACAAATATTGAAATTGCAGAAAAAAACTGACCAGGATTTTTTAGTTTTGCCCTGTAAAAACTCACATTTCTGACTGCAATAATAATAATAGTCACGGGAAAACTTAATTTGCGATAATAAAAAAAAAATTACCGCGTTGCAGTTGCGAAGACTGCAGCTTGAAAAGGAGGCATTGAGCCAGCAACAAACGAAATTTGCACGCCTCGGAATTTTCGCGAGCTGGGACGTGCGCCTCGATGGTCACGCTGCAGTTTGTGCACGAAAGCCCAAGGCCTGCTGTGATGGGGGCAGAGATGGGGAAACGGCATCACATTATAGTTTCCCACGACAGAGATAGTGTGGGCACAGATACCCGTGGCCTGCATATAACAGGGCGGTGTTTAGGTGCCCGTTAAAAAAAAGGACATTCGCTCAGAGTCCCTGCGCAAGTGGGGCAGAGAGCACAACGTTCGCTCTTCCCAGAACCCAACAGCACTGAGTTCGGGCTTCGCACCACAACATGTCTGTACCCACCGCCCACCGCCCCCTTGTTATGGGTTATGTCTTGTCAACGTATTAAAAAAAACACATTCAATTTTTTTTGTATATCGTACTCTGAAGCTCAAAAATGTAACAGCGTTGTAAAGCCGAGCAGACTGATCATTAGCCGTGTCTCCAGGCTGCAAAAAAAAACAAAAGATCACATAGGTCAGCGTTCTTCACTAATGATCAGAGGGGGGCCACTTTGGCCGATAAGACATCATCAGCGTGAGGGCCGCCACGCGTGTTAAAATCATTGGGGGTTTGACAGCAGCACGATTATGATGGGGTGCTTTCACATTTGTGTATTGTGGGGGTCGCGCATCAGGGGCCGCACTAAAGGCCACCAGGGGCCGCTAGTAGCCCACGTGCCTTGCAATGAAGACCACTATACTCGTTGGTTCTATTGGGTAAAGTCACATAGGTGGAAATAAAATAACAAAAAATCACGACGTTTCGGCCACAACACAAGCCGCCTTCATCAGGTGAAGGGACGAGACTGTCTGGAGGACAGCGCTGGAGTGAAAAAAAGCCACGCTTAGATCACGACCTTTAAGCTGTGTGACAAGAAAACAAAGCGCCTTGACAACGGAATTAGCATAAAAATTAGCATTTGATTGGCCGACTTTAGAAAAGAGGTGGTGTAGCAAGATATAGTAATAGGTTTTTACCCTTTTATCTGGCACCAAAACTGACGTACGCCTTTTGGCGTCATCTGGTCCAACACCAGTGGAGACTAGGCTCTAAGAAAAGCCGTCTCGGGTGTGGACCAATCAATTTCAAAGACAGTGCATATCATTATCAGAGTTGTCTCTTTTTGTTTGCATTTTGACTGCTTGTGTTGTGGTTATTGCAAATATGATCCCTTATATAAAGGTGTCAGTTTTGGTGCCAGATAAAAGGGTAAAAACCTATTACTACAGTACCGTAATAATTACGACGCTTATGAGGCGCCCTTAAGCAATCGTTCGCAGGGCGCTATGCGTGAAAATCCGGAAATAGCTTAAGATCAACCAAAGACAGAAGTGAGAAAGACGTTTGAAAATAACTCAATGAGGAAAAAGTCATTTTAAAAAGGTCAAGTTTTTAGTCAAGATTTTAAGATTTGTGTCGTGAAAGTCCTGACCTCGAAGGAAAAGGAGTTCCAGAGTTTCGGGCGTCGCAATTGCAAAGGCACGATCACCTCCAATTGTGAAGCCAAATCTGGATTGTGGTGGCTTTTTTTAAAACACTTTAATGTAGATTTTATTTTATATCACTATAAGAGACATGACGTGGAATTTAAATATTATTACAAGCTGCAAATGTTCTTTGGGCCTTTTGGTAAAGCCACGTAGATAGAAAAAAAAAATATCATGATGTTTCGATCGCAACACAGGCAATCGTCATCAGGTGAAATAATATAGGGCCGGCCTAGCCCTGATCTCAGAGAAAATAACATTTCCCCGATTTGAACAATTTAGACAAGACTCTCTTGCAATCACACTTGATATTTACAGAAAAAATGTCTACATCTGATTGGGACCATGTAGATAACATGACAGCCTCCTCAGCCGCCTCAATGTCAGCTAAATGCAAAGATAACCTTATTTCCAAGTTCAACCTCCAAGAAGAAGCCAGATCCACACATTTAAAGTTAGACGGTGACAAGATTGTTATCAATCAGAGTAACATCCCAATTTCTGACAGCTTAAAATCTGTTCTAGATAAAGGGGTGAATTTCGCAGTCACCCCTAAACACATCCCAATTGATGATATCATTGCCCAGGTCGACGTAGCCCTTAAGGGTTTGGGACACATTCCTGCAGACGTGGCAAGATCAGAAATCGCTGCATTCCTCAAAAGCGCTAAGACGCCTATTAGCAACATCAGCAAGGATGAGCGCTTTGAGCTTTCTCAACTAAAAAAGAGAGATGACATAGTCATCATCTCGGCCGACAAGGGCAATGGCCACTGTCATCATGGACACAACCACATACAATCACAAATTCAGGGCCTACTTAATGATGGCAGCTATACCAAAATCAATAGAGATCCTACTAACCGCCTGGTTACGAAAACCAACAACATCACTGATTCGACATCTCTGATAGAACCAACCAAGCAACTTTCTTTAAAACCCTCTGCTGTGAGACCACCCATATTTTATGGCTTACCAAAAATCCATAAAGAAGGTACAACACTCCGCCCGATCGTCTCCACCATTAGCTGACCCACCGACAAACTGGCCCGATTTCTGTCTGAGACCTTACAACCATTCACTGGTAAGACCACCTCAGCTGTACTTAACTCAGCTCACTTGGCATCTTTAATTAAGGACATCTCACTATCTCCAGGTGATTTGCTTGTCAGTTTCGATGTATCTTTGTTTGCTAAAGTTCCTGTGCCTGACGCCATTGCAATCATTGAAGATTTTGTCCAACAAGGACTGAATGCTGATGTACCGGCCCTGGTTAGACACTGCCTCACCAACACTTACTTCACCTGGAATGGAACATTCTACAAATAAGTTGAAGGTACCCCAATGGGTTCTCCCTAATCTCCAGTTGTAGGCAATGTTTTCATGGAAAAATGAGACAAATGCCATCCAGGCATCCACCCTACGTCCTTCCTTGTGGAAGAGATATGTAGATGACACGTTCGTCATCTGGCCACATGGCCAACCAGCTCTGGGCCAATTCTTCAACCACATCAAGTCCATACACCCAGCCATCAAATTCACCATGGAGGTGGAAAAGGATGGCAAGTTACCATTCTTGGATGTTTTAATCGAAAAGAGACCAGATGGCTCAATGGGGCACTGTCTACAGCAGGGGTCTCAAACTTGCGGCCCTCTGGCCAATTGCGGCCCGCGGAACGATATTTTGTGGCCCCCTACTTGACATCAATTTTTAATTTATTTTTTAATTATTATATATTTTTTACCATAGCTCAGGCTCGTGACAGCTTCCGGTGTTTGTTGACAAGTTAGCCAACGCGAATTAGCAATGTTAGTCACTTGGTTGAAACGTGATTCCGGAGTGACACCAAGTGGAAGGAAAATATATCCTGTCACCCAGTGCAAGGTACAGAGGACTTAGGAAGTGGGCGGACTCAACAAGAGTAATCAGTGACCTAATAAAGACAACAGAATGTTGCAATAGGAAAGGGAAAATAATTACATGGATAGCAAATAGCATGAGATGGGTGGCAAGAACAAAAGCCAAATGGTGGTTAGAACCTGAATATTATAAAGAAGAAGTTATAGATTATTATTACAAGAGAAACAAAGACAAGGAAAAAGGACAGATATGTGCAATCGCAAAAGAAAACGAATTTACCAAGAACAATTTAATCAAAAAGAGCAAGTAATTAAAAAATATAAAACATGAGACAATGCACTTGATGTTAAGAATTAAGGCAGGTGGAGTAACATGGACACCAGAGTTAGCTCAATGGCATCCAGAGAGATTTGGTAGACCAGAAGGATATGTAGGACGTAAACAAAAAGAAGACAATCTAGATCACTTTATTTATGAATATGAAAGGTATAAACACATGAGAGAGAACTCGTTGATAAATGTAATAATGATAAAAAAACGAAGTGCTCAAAAAAAGCTATAAACAATGATAAAGTTTTCAAATACCTCTCAGAATATATAGAAAGGGCATACTAAATAAGATCCCAAATACTCAGGTATTGGGATAAAAACATGTAAATATATCACAATGGAAAGCCCGCCTTAAGGGTGACCAAAGCGCTGTAAAAGTGTATGGTAGACAGAAGCCACAGCACTGATAGTACCGTAATTGGCCAGACCACCGCTCAGGAGATATTCCGCCAGCCGTGTGATGCCATTGTGGATGCCGGTT